ATCATTTTAATGACATCTCCTCATTGTAACAAAATGTGGTCACCTACAGTGTGTTACTTTGTAACAACCCTGTGAGGCAATAATAAATAGCTCATGTTTATTAAGTATTTTGCATGGTGAAACTCTGGGAAATAGATCCTGGTGTCACGCCCATTTTACAGATGGGAACCTAAGGCATGAAAAGGAGTGGATTACCCAAAATCATATAACTAATAGGAGCAGAGCTAGATAGGAACCCAGACACTTGGGTCTAGAACAGCACACTCTTAACCCTTAGTTTATACTGTGGTACAAAATAGTAGTCCCATTTCACAGATGAGAAAACAGTCTCAGAGCTTAAGGAAGCGGAGTCCTGGTGTGGCACTGTGAGTTAATGAGCCAGACCGTAAAGCTGTTTGAAGTGCAAGGTCAGTGGTTCAAGCTCACCAGCTGCTCCTTGGAAACCCTATACAGGGTTGCTATGGGTCAGAACTGACTCAAAGGCACTTCACAACAACAAAGTGGTCTTAAAACCATATCTTCCCACTCTTAAATCAGCTTCAGTTTCTAACAGCCCAGACTACCTCCAGACAGCCATTGCTGTATGGAAGGCAGCTAGTTTATCTCGTAGAACACTAACCTTGCAAACACCTATTTTATGGAGAAGTCAGAGGTGTGGAATCTGGATTGGTTGTCTCATTTCCTGGGTGAAGGCAGGGGCATCAGCTTCCTCTTTCATCACTTGCACCTATTTACTCACACAGCTATCTTGTTGCCCGTGCTCCCTCGAGTTATCCACAGGCCGGCAGATCTGGAATGGGTAAATGAAGCCAGTGTGCATGCCACTGGGGCGAGTACAGTTTTTAGATCCACAGACAGTTAGCATCCTGAGCTTTGGTGTCTCCTCCATCTTTCTGGGAAGAACCTCCCAAGCCAGTCTTGACCAAGGCTCACCCATCCCATGAATGTTTATTGAGCACTTATTATAATGAGTCAGAACCTCATAGCTGGGTGCTGGCCTTACTGTAGTAACTAGGACAGAGGTGGTCCCTGCCCAGCAAGGGGTCAACTTATGTGAACCAGGAGCACTCTGAAGTCAGATAAGTGATAAGATAGGGGAAACATAGGCTGCTATGGGAACAGCTGTCAGCATGGTCTAGGGATGGGGAAAGACCTCCCTGAGGCCTATGTTAACCTTGAGACCACCGAATGCACTGGGCAAGAGCACCAGTCCCTCCTCCAACGACTTGCATATCTTGGGAATAACTGCCAACATTCCAGCGACTACCAAGTACGTCTGGGGTCAGTCCTATTAGCACTAGGGGAACTGCCCAATATTGGTGTTTTGCCATCTTGTGGAAGAATGTGTAGGGGGAGTCCTGAAAAATGAGGTTGATAACTAAAGTCCACTCTACTTTCTTCTTCTCATATTTATGTGTTTCCTCTAATACATCCTCCCTAGACATATTTTGAGAATAACATTTTGTAAAGAGTTAATTAGGTTGTTGTTTGCTCTCTAGTTGATTCTGACTCAAGGTGACTGTGTTCCGAATAGAACTGCTCTCTAGGGTTTTCAAGGCGTTGTCTTCCGAGTTGCTTCTGGGTGGATTCCAACCCTCTAACCTTCAGTAGTCAAGTACTTAACCATTTGTACAACGAAGGAATTCTTTGTAAAAAGTTGCTGCTGTTGTTAGCTGCTGTTGAGTCATCTCTGATGACCATACGAACACCAGAAGGAAACCCTGCTTGGTTCTGTGCCATCCTCACAGTTGTTGTTATGTTTGAGCCCATGTGTCAATTCAGTTCATTGGGGGTCTTTCTCATGTTCACTGATCCTCCACTTTACCAACCAGGCCTTTTCCAGGGACTGGTCCCTCCTGATAACTTGTCCAAAGTATGAGAGATGAAGTCTTGCCATACTGGCTTCTAAGAAGCATTCTAGCTATATATACTTCTTTCAACACAGATATGTTTGTTCTTCTGAAACTCTGTGTACTTTTTAATATCTCCAACACCATAACTCAAATGTGTCAATTCTTCTATGGTCTACCTTATTCATTGTCCAACTTACACATGCATATGAAGCTACTGAAATTACAGTGACTTGGGTCAGGTGTACCTTGGAATTTACACTGACATTTTTGGTCTTGAACACTTTAACGAGGTCTTGTGCAGCTGATTTGCCTAATACAATGTGCTCTTTGATTTCTTAACTGCTGCTTCCATAAGTGCTGATTATGGATCCAAGCAAAATGAAGTCTTTGACAACTTAACACTTTTCTTCATTTATCATTATGTTATTTATTGGTCTAGTTGTGAAGATTTTGTTTTCTTTCAATTTAGGTGAAACCTATACTGAATGCTGTGATCTTTGATATTCATAAGTAAGTCCTCTTCACTTTCAGCAATCTGGGTTGTACCACCCATCTGCATATTGCAGGTTGTTAATGAATCTTTCTCCAATCCCGATGCCATGTTCTTCTTCATTTCATCCAGTTGCTCAGATTATTTGAACAGCAGACAGACTGAATAAAGTATGGTGAAAGGATACAAGCCTGACACACCTTTCCTGATTTAAAACCATTCAGGGTCTCCTTGTTCTGTTTTAACAACTGCCTCTTGGTCTATGTACAGCTTCCTCATGAGCACAATTAGTGTTCTGGAATACCCATTTCCTACAATGTTATCCATAGTTTGTAATGACCCACACAGTTGAAAGTTTCTGCACAATAAATAAATCACAGGTAAGCATCTTTCTGGTATTCTCTGCTTTCAGCCAAGATCCATCTGACATGAGCAATGACATCCCTCATTCTATGTCCTCACTGAATCCTGCTTGGCCTCTGACAGTTCCTTGTTGATACACTGTTGTAACCCTTTTTGAATTATCTTCGGCAAAGTTTTACTTGCATGTCATATTAATATTGTTGTTGGATAATTTCCACATTCTGTTAGGAATAACAATGGAACACTGTCATATCTGACTATATCTAGTGCTGGAAAATGAAAACATGAAAAGTACCAGTAAAAAGATACTGCTATAAAATTACCCCTACCATTTTTTGCTTTCTTCAATGGCTTATCCTATTTTCTCTACAAATTTATTTTCTCTTCTGTAATAATAATTCAGCTGTCAATAGATCATTAGAAAAAAAGACCGCTGTCCTCACGTTACAGGAAAGGAACATTTAAGAAGTACTTGTTATAGTGTCTGCACATTGCTGAGTGGTACATGTACATATCTCTGTAAGAAACAACCAAGTGTTAAATTAAAAACCACACAAATAGTCCCTAACTGATCTATATACTAGAGAGGGCTTAAGAAAGTTCATGGAAAAATGGAATCAGAAGATATTGGTCTTTATTTCTATGGTCAGTAGTTCAAGCTCACCAGCTGCTCCTCAGAAACCCTATACAAGGTAGTTATGGGTCAGAATTGACTTGACAGCACTTAACAACAACAACATGGCTCTGTAGGAATCCTGGTGTGGCACTGTAGGATAAGTTCTGGACCACAATTTCAGTTCAATCCAAGGTACTCCTCGGAAACCCTATACAGTGTCACTATGAGTTAGAACTGACTAAACAGCACCTAATGACAACAGCAATAATAGCTTTGTAGGGTAAGCACTGGACTTCAAACTACAGTGTCAGCAGTTCAAGACCACCAGCCTCTTCTCAGGAGAAAAGTGAGTATTTCTGTTTTAAAAATGACTTAAAGCCTCGCAAACCCTATGTGTCAGAGCTGACTCAATGGCACCTAACAACAGCTCGATTCATATCTAGATGCTTAAGTTCTTCTGTAAACTTTATGTAAAGTTTTTGTAAACTCTCTGGAGTAGGGATTGAACAGAAATATTACATCTGTAACTCATAGCCCATCCCACCTCCTACCCTCACTCCATAACCCCACCCCTTAAATCCCTCACTTTAGTTTTGCGCTGGCAACAACTGGTTCTTCTTCCTGTGGAATCCAGAATTCTTAAGCTTCAAATTGCACCTGAATTTCAACACTGATTTTCAACTATATGTTGATATTAGAAAGCTCTTTCACTGTTGCGAAAACCCATGATAGTATGCCCTGCTTTTGTCTTTTTTGTTCTTGTTAAATGCTATCGAGTTGGTTCCGATCCATAGGGTTTCCAAGGAGTGGCTGGTGAGCTTCAGCCACCAGCCTTTGTGGTTCAAACCGACTTTGCAGTGCATGTGTTAACCCACAGCGCTTTAAGCCACGATAAATTGTTGCAGGAGAAAATGTTAGCAACCCAGATTTCAGCTGATTTGTTATGGACCACAGTATTCAAAAAGTAGTTGATGAGTCTGAAAGGTCTGCTATGGGCCAGGCAGGCCAGAGGAGGAAAGAAGCAGCGGCAGCCTTAAAGACCATAGACTTGATTCTGGTCCTGATGTCACTCAGCCTCTCTGGTCCTTCATTTCTTCATCAGCAGAATGAGAAATTTTAGCCAGGCCTTTGCTACCAGTCAAATGAACCTTACCATGGAGTTTGTTAGAAATGCAAGATCTGATGGGACTGTACAGAATCAGAATCTGCATTTTAACAAGGTACCTAGGTGAATCGTGTGCACAGTAACATCTGAAAAGCATTGAAGTAGATGATCTAAATGGTCCTTTACCAAAACCCTGTGTTAGAATAGGGGCAGAGTAGAATCCAGAGGGACACCAAGTCTGGTTAGTCTAATATTTCAGGCAAGAAAAATGGTGTGTGGTTAGTGTTGTTGTTGTTAAGTGCTGGTGAGTTGGGCCTGTATAGGGTTTCTAAGGAGCAGCTGGTGAGCTTGAATTGCAGACCTCCCAATTCAAGTGGACTTGGCAGTCCAGCCCATTAACCAACAGCGCCACACCAAGAGTCCATGTGGGTAGTAGGGGAAGGATAAAAAAGGAAGTTCTTTAAGTAAATACACCACAGCAAAGTCCTATCGCATAGACAAAGTGTGTCTGCTCTGGTTTCGTTTCCTGTAATTGCTTAGCATCCCTGGTCTTTCTCTCTCTCTTTTTTCCATATTCGCTTAATTGTGGAACTCGTGTGGCCTTTATCTTTATTTCTGGTCTTGATCTGGTTAAGGAATGCCAACCCTGTCTACAGCCAACACGAAGGTAAGCATAATGGGGGTAGCTTTGGAAAGCACCAAGAAGACAATGGGCCATTAGTTTTGAAAGGTCTTGAATGCTGGGGATGCCAGGTTCTGATCTGCTTATCTTTATTTCTTGTCTACAATACATTAAAGAGAGATTCATCAATGTGACACATCTAATATTTTAATCCTATGCAATCTATACAAATTTAAGTGTGTGGCTACTAAAGGATTGTGAAATCCATTTTTGTGTGTATTATTTTCTGTTCCTAAAGTCAAGGAGCTCTGGTAGTGTAGTGGTTATGAGTCGAGCTGCTAACCTCAAGGTCAGCAGTTCGAAACTACCAGCAGTTCCATGGGAGAAAGATGAGGCTTTCTGCTTCTGTAAAATTTTATAGCTTTGGAAACCTATACAGGGTCACTATGAGTCAGAATCGATTCCATGACACATAACCAACCACTACCACCAAAACTCAAGGAGCTCTGGTGACCAATGGTTGAGCTAAGTGAGAAGTTGACAATTCAAACCTTCCCAGCTACTCCATGGGAGAAAGCTCTGACAATTTGCTCCTATGAAGATTGTTGCTATCATGTGTTGTCCAGTCAGCTCCAACTAGTAGTGATCCTGTATAGGGTTTCTTAGGAGTGGCTGGTGGGTTTGAGCCATCAACTTTGCAGTTAGCAGTCCAGCGCTTATCCTATAGGACCGCACCAAGACTCCAGCCTAGAAAACCCTATGGGACAGTTCTACTTTGTCATATGAGTTGAAAATTAGCTAGATGATACCTGAGACAGAAACAAAATCTGAAACAAAAATGGAACCTTTTATTCGTTTTAAAGAGATCATGTTATAGATATATTGTCTGAAATCTTTTGGAGACCAAACACATGGTGCTAGAGAGAAAAGAGGAGAAGTGACCATATGGTCACTTATTCAAACTAGCTTTTGGACCTCAGAGATGTCCTATGGCATAGAATAAATCTTGTGAGTAATTTTAAAAACAATTATAACCTTCTGGGAAATCCTTAATTTGATTTCTGGCCAGGAGGACATCTCTCTCTAGGCAGCTGAATATGGAAAGTCTCAGGAGTTATGCAAAGCAGCTCATTTCCCTTTACTTGCCCCTCACCCTCTTATTCATCAGTTTCAACCCCAAGTTCTGAATCAGTCTTCTTTCCTTCAAAGCCTTGTTTCTTTTCCTTACCCTCAAGGAGCCCATAACCTGTAGTTCTCCTACATGCTTAGGGTCGTGGTTATGTGCCATCTAGTAGGTTCCCACTCAGAGTGACCCTGTAGAGGGTTGTTGAGACTGTTAATCTTTAGGGGAGTAGAAAGTCTCATCTTTCTCCCCTGGAGCTGCTGGTGAATTCAAACTACTGACCTTGCAGTTAACAGCTCAACGCATAACCTACTACGTCCCACACTATACTTGGGGGTTGTTGTTAAGTGCCCATTGAATCAGTTACAACTCATAATGATCCTGTATAGAGTTTCCAAGGAGTAACTTAGTGGGTTTGAGTCGCTATGTGGCTAGCAGTCCAGTGCTTATCCTACAAGTGCCACACAAGAACTCCATGTTTGGGGGTAGAAGTACAATATATAGTTGTTGAAGGAATAGATGAACCTCTTCCCCTTCTGATGAACTCTTTCATCTTTAAGGATCAGTAACCTTTTGGAACCTTCTTGAGATAACATTCTGCTGCCCACTGCTCCCACCATAGAAAGAAGTATTTCCCCTCTCTTTCCTCTGTACTCTTCCCATACCTCTACTGAACATTTGCCCCACCAGACTGGGAGTTTGAGGGAAGAGACCTTGTTTCTAGCACCTAGTACAGGTGTCCCTGGTTCTAAAATTCTACGAATGAAAGCAAGCACTAGGCTTCTTCTTGAAGTGGTTCCCTCCTCCTAGAGCCTGCATCCAGCTTGGACTAGATAACTAACGCCTTGTATTCATTTCCTGTCTTAAAGGCCATTTTCCCAACAAGGCTATGCCCTCAGCAGGAATGTTGCCGTGGCTCCAGGGGATTTTCTGCAATGCAAACAATCCTTGTTTTCAGAACCCCACCCCAGGAGAATCTCCTAGGATTGTGTCAAACTATAACAACTACATGAAAGTGTTAAGATTCCCACTAGTTGGGGGAGGAAGCTGTGCACCTCTTTATTCTCCATTTTGTACCAGGACACACATGCTTACTCACACAGAGCAAGCTCACTGAGCTTCTATGCTCTTATCATGATCAGGGCAGGTGTCCGTTCTAGAAAACCCTATTAGCTGTGAGGGCACTGGCAGAAAGAGCTTCAGACTAAGACAACTTGGACACAATTCTTTATATCCCTAAGATGTGGTCTGGACTCTGGTGTCACCCCCTCTGCCCTCTGTTAAGATGGGCCCACTATACCCTGGTCATCCATTGGCTTGGGTGCAGTCACTGGATGAGAAGAACTCATTCCCTTCACCCCAGGGAATGAGTCCCATCAAAAATCCTTCTTGGGCATCTGAAGGTTTAGGAAAATATCAGGGAATGTTGGGTGAATAAAATCAGATTTCCAAGATGAAGCTTGCTTCTTGAAAGAAGAAACAGATTCCAGACTCTACTGAAATTGTCATCTGCTTCCTTTGTGTCAGAATCTTAGGCTATGACTTGAGCACAGAAAACCTTTCAGAGAAGTTGATAGATACGCTGGCCCCTCTCATGAAGAAATTGTGCATGTGCACAAAACATTATATTTACATATGATTTTAGGGGATTTGTGGATCCAGGCTAAAATTCTCTGGTCTTGAGTTGAATTTCTAATCAAATCCCATGGGAAGAGATGTTACCTTTGGAATTCCCCTTCAGGGCAAGAGTTGGGAGTAGGTGATTGAATGTGTCCTTGAACATGATTAGGGCCATCCTTTACCCACTCTGATGACTGAGCCACAATTAGTAAAAATCCAACACAAAGGTCACCAACAAGGGCTTTCTTGTGAGGGGTCTTTACTCTCCTTGTATAGATATAAGATTAAGTGGATTACTGAGATATTTGGTTGCTCCATTTTTTTCTTTGGAGGAACTCCAGGTGTAATTCATCCAGAAGAAACCTGCATTTAGACTTTAAAAGGAACATTTGGCAGGTCTCAGCCTAGGGCTCAGAGGTGGTCTCCCCCACTGAGAACAAACTAGAGATTCCTTTGCTTCATAATTATATAGCTGAGCTGTTGTGACAGAGATTATAGAGCCTGTAAATCTATAAAATTTACAACCTGGCCCTTTACAGAAACAGTTTGCTGACCCCTGATTTATAGGAACATAGAAGAGACAACACCTCACCTTAGTAAAAAGTCAGTGAGGTGACATTTTAGCTGGGCTCACATTGCTACTAATGGTGCCTTAAAGTTTTCAGTCTACACTTTCAACTTGGAGTTCCTTGAAGTCCCTGAGAAGAAATGCCAGTCCATCCAGAAAGACCCAATGAGGTCTCATGGTAGAATTGGAAAACTTGGAGACAGTTCAGTGTGGGGTAGACGCAGCTTTAGAGGTTCTGGCACAGGTAGCGTTTCTGCATATGATTGAGGAATATTAAAGGTAGGGCAAGGGGGATCCCAGACTCTCTAGCTGTGCTTGAAACAGGAATTTTGGGTTTCATGTTTCATACATCATCACTGAAATATTGGCTCATTAGGGATTCTTTGGTTTCCAATGCACAGATCCCCATTCAAACAAGCTTAAGTCTCAGTGAGAAATGTATGGTTTGGATACTAAAATGTGTGATTTCTCACAAAACTACACACAGGAAGACAGACCTCAGGAGTAACAGAGACAAAAAGTAAGGAGCCGCCAAGAGTGGTGCCCTCAACCCTCTCTGTCTGAGCATCCAGTTTCTGCTTCTCTGTGTGCATCTACTCCATGCACTGCTCTCCCTAGACCAGCATCCCTGCTTCTCAAACCCCCCCCCCGGCTCACATAGGTCACCCAGTTCATAGTATCAGACTTTGAGCAACCAGAATTGCAGCTCTGAATTCCATTCAATCTCCCAGGAGAACAAATCTGGCTTGTCCAGTTGCATTCTCCTTGTCTGATCAACTGTGGCAGAGGTGTGAATGTGTGTAAGTGTGTGTGTGTGTATGTGTGAGAGTGAATGAGAATTGTTGAGAAGTGCCATTGAGTCAGTTCCGACTCATACTATGTGGGGGTTCTTGTGTGTGTGCTTGTGTGAATGTATATGTGCACCTATGCGAGTGTGAGGGTGTTTTTGTGTGTGAGTGTGTGTGCAGGGAGGGTGTGGTGGATTACACATATCTGGCAGAGCCTATCCCTTATGAGTGAGTGCAGGGCAGGTCCCAGAGAAGTGAGCAGAGACTGGAAAGATCTTCCAAGAATGTCCGTCACTGATATCATCCTGTTTAAGGCTTATGGGGTGACCTGGCCCTGCCAAAATAGAAAGACTGAATAAATAACTCCCTCTCCCCTTCCTGCTATCCTATTTATTTCTCCTTTTGCCCTGAAAGAATTGTAAGGATACATGCCGTAGCCAGATCAACCACATGGTATTATTATTATTTCTTAAAAATCACCAGGTATTATTATTATGATAAAAATGGAAGCTATTTCTTTATTGATGAGGCTTTGTCCTTCTTTATATAGTCTGGCAAGGGTGTATCAAGATTTTCAAGGAATCCTTGCTGATGCAGCAGAAAGCCAGCAGCTTGGTCAAGTTTGGACAGAACTCCATACCTTGTTCCAACTCATGGATACACTCCGGACAAACCCCAAGAGAATTGTAGGTATGCGGCATCTCTGTATGCTCACCTGTCATGTGTCACCCTCTTACCTCATTCATCAGCGAAATTGACAATAGGAAAGGGTGGGGTACTTGGTGGGAAAGACCCCAGAGGAGGCAGAATGGGTTGGGATATAGAAGTGGTGTGAGGATTCACCTTGGTGACGATGTCTTTTCTTCCGATCAGAATAGAAGGGAGGAAGATGAGAAGGAGGACAGCTCTCAGCCCAGTAAAATCCAGAGATAGAAAAAGAATGCTAAGTGAGATCATGCCCTGGGAAGTTAAATAGAAGAAAGAGGTGCGAATTTCTTTCATAAGTAGTGGAACAGCTTGCATAAGTGTTCAAGAGAGCGCACACGCATGTAGAAGCAATGCTAAATAACATTAAGGTCCTACAGGAGGTCAGAGATGATACATTTATCATGGCATAGACATGTGCAATTGTATGATTTTTATCTAGTAATATTCAGCATCCCAGGCACTGAGGCAGAGAGGGTGGAGTGAGGATGGATGCAGGGCTGGGGTTTGTGAGGAGGTGCCACACAGAAGGTCAAAGAGGCAAGGGGGTTGAAAATGGTGATTAGACTACAGGCTCAGGCTGCAATCAGATGGAAGAGAAGCCAGAAGAACTGAGATGGGGTAGGAGTAATGGAGGCACACCAGAGCAGAAGTCTCAGTGTGTCCAAGTAGCCTGAGTCAAAGGCTGAGAAAATACATGAGAAGGAAAGATTGATGACTATGATGAACAGTGAGATATCCAAAGTCAGGAGATCAAAGATAGGAAATCCCCGTCTTGTGGCCAGGGTGGTTGAAGTGGAGCAGATGGTGAGGAAAACATGATGAGGAGATGAGGAGATGAAGGAGACAAGAGGTCAGGCTGTTAGGTGAGTCGCCACATGAATACTAAGGCTATAGAGGACAGGACGATGGCATGTGTTGTTAGGTGCCATCGAGTTGGTTTCACCTCATAATCACTCCAATTCACAACAGAATGAAGCACTGACTAGTCCTGTGCCATTCTCACAATTGTTGCTGCCACAGTGTCAGCCCATCTCATTGAGAATTTTCCTATTTTTCCCTGACCCTCCACTTGAGCAAGCATGGTATCCTTCTCCAGAGACTGGTCCCTCCTGACAACACATCTAAAGTACAAGAGACCAAGCCTCACCATCCTGGCTTCCAGGTAGCTGTACTGACAGGTAATGCAGCAGTGAGAAATGGTCATTGCCACCAGGCTCGGAAAGCCAAAACCCTGACTAAACAAACAAACCAAACCCACTGCCACCAAGTGGATTCGGATTCATAGTAACTCTCTATATAGGGTTTCTGAGGTGGTGGTGGCTGTGTGCCGAGGAGTTGGTTCTGACACTTAGAGGCCCGGCATAGGGTTTCCAAGGCTGTAAATCTTTACAGGAACAGAAAGACTCATCTTTCTCCCATGAAACAGCTGGTACTTTCAAGCTGCTCACCTTGAAGTTAGCAGCCTGACTTGTAACCACTACACTATCACTGTAAATCATCTTTCTCCTGTGGAGTGGCTGGTGGGTTTGAACTGCCAACATTGATGTTAGCACCACCAGGGCAGTGGTGAACAGTGATAAGAAGAAAGGAACCCTCCCTCCTATGTGCCTCTGTTTCCTGGGGGGAAATAAGAAACAAACAGAAACCAATGACAGTAACAACAAATTTCTTTTAAAGGGTAAGTGGCTATTTTGTGGTTGCTCCATCTGCAGCAGGCCTGGGCAGAGGACTAATTTAGTGTCCTCCACATGAAGGGCTGCTGGTTGGGGAAGGCTGTTCACAGTAGAATGGGGCTCTGAGGCAGCCTAGGAAGCAGTGTGGAGCTGCTGAGAGGTGTGCATTGCTAGGAGTGGATGCAGGAGTGAGCCTGGATGTGGGGTCGGGGAGTGAAGGGAGTGCATTATACAGTTGTCCTTAGAGAACAACAGAGGTGATGGAGGGATCTACCAGGGTGATGAGAGGGGCTCCTGGAAAATCCAGCTGTGAGGGAGGAGAAGAATGGAGAGAATCAGAATCTCTCACCCCACTCAACATCCAGCAGATGTGTTTGAGCGCCCATTGTGTGCCAGGCACGGTTCTAAACTCTGGATGGAGAGATGAGTTCTGCCCTCAAGGGCTTATAGTACAGAAGCAGAAAGGGATGAGTAAACAGACAATGACGTGTGTGTGTGTGTGTGTGTGTGTGTGTGTGTGTGTTTTGGGGCTCAAGGGATCAGGCCTCAGGGGAATTAGGATGGAAAACATCTTCAAAGAGAATCTGGTCTGGTCTTCCACCCATTTCTCCATCTTCTCCCACTGCTGAAACAGTGTTCAAATTGGTGAATTAAAATGATTTAATTACATTAATTATTTCCAAAATAGTGAAGCATATGCTTTATGTAGTAATTTTCTACAATCCAGATCGCAAGCACTGCATTCTTTGCTGCCTAGAAGAGTTTATTTTAGTTAGCCCAAGTTTGGAAGACCTTATAAGGTATGAGCACAATTAGCATTTTAAGGATAAGAAAGAAGGGGAAGAATCAGCCAGAAAGTGACCTTTTTTTCAAAGTTAAATAAACAGAGGAGAGCATGGGCTGTCTAGCTCCTGGAATGACGTCTCCCCCGTTGACCCAGAGGAATCCTTGGTAAGAGGACACTTTCATTGAAGTGTCTGATTATCAAAGTCAGTCTGGCTGAGAGGATGTTTAGAAAAAGTCATTTCAAACCACCATTTCTTTGTGGTCTTTATAATGAGTAGTGTTCTTAAGTGCCATTGAGTCAGTTCTGGTTTCAACTTATAATGAATCTGTATAGGGTTTCTGAGGAGTGGCTGGGGGGTTTGAACCATCAACCTGTGGCTCAAACTGACCTTGCAGTCCAGTACATTTTCCTGCAGTGCCACGTCAGGACTCCATAAGGCATATGTTGTTGTTAAGTGCTGGAGAGTCAATTCTGACCCATAACGATCCTGTATAAGGTTTATAAGGAGCAGCTGGTGAGCTTGAACCACCAACCTTACAGTTCAAATGGCTTTGCAGTCTGATGCATTAACCCACAGCACCACACCATAATGCATATATGAGAACCAAAATCCCTACATCTTAACCCAAAACAAGATCCCTGGGTGGTGCAAATAGTTTGTGCTTAACTACTAAAGTCTAAAGGTTGTGGTTTGAACCCAACCACTAGTGCCACAGAAGAAAATCCTGGCAACTTGTTTCTATACAATTATAGTCAAGAAAACCCTGTGGACCAGTTCTATTCTGTCATCCAATGGGTCACCAGGAGTTGGGGCTGACCTAACAACAACAAGCTTGGTTTATGTTTTGTTTCACTTTTAGCCCAAAAGCAGGACTCATTTTGAATGGCATACAAGGTGATTCCTTCTGAAGTCTGTAAGCTTTGGGGAAATTTCCTGAGAGGAGGGTAGCTTAGAGGGTCTAGAGAGGAAGGGTCAGGAAATACCAGCTAAGACTTCCCAAAGAAGTCTGGGAGCAGAAACTCTGCATAACCCCTGACCTGCATGATTGTGACAGGGTGGTAGGGACCATCCCCAAGTAAGGGACACAATCCCTGAAGAAGCCTCAGGTGCAGGTCTGAAGCCCATGACCGTAACACCATAGATTATTTAAGCATCTAAGAGTCACCTGTCTTAGACAGGTGAACAAAAAATCCTAAGCCTGAAGCTGCAGTGGTGTGTGCTTTTGCCTGTCCCAGTCAGTCACCTGGGAAAGTATGCTGATGGGTGAACCAGGCAGCATCTTCCTTTCATAGCAAACCTGTAGTACTGCATTCTCAGCAGAAGAGGATTAATGGTAAAGACCAGACATGAAGTGCCCCCCCACCCCCACCCCAAGCAAACTCTGTGGTCTCTCAATCATCTTTAAAACACCTCCTTCCTGTGAGCCGCAAGCATTCTCTCTGGCTTCCCTCCCACCGCCCCTCAGCTCTGTGGGCCACAGCAACTCCCTGTCCCCCAGCCTTCTCAGTGATGAGAACAAGTAGAACCACATTTTAAACTAAATTTACTTTTCTTTCCTCAGGCCCCCAGTTCACATTTCTCCCTCAGGAGTTTAGGGAAACTTCTGTCTGGTATTGGCCACCTCTCACACTTTGGGGCTCCCTTCCTCGGGTGTGTTGTTGAACCAGCACGTTCCTGTTCTCTTCTCTAGGGCCCCAGCAGCCTAGTTACCTGGGTGGTATTTTGTGTGATGTTTTATATCGCTTTCTGTGCTGTTATCCTCTCCAGCAAGATACGAGTATTTGTATGTAAGATCAGGTGAGTAAGTTAAAGAATAACTAAGAGTAAATAGTCACAGGGGTCCTGACTCTCGGGTCAAGACAACAGGCATTTATTGGGTGCCTCCTGCCATTCATAGACTTTTGGACTAGGCCTTAGCTTGATGTCAGGCTCCAATGCTTGGTGTCAGAAAGAGATGACCTCTAGTGATATATCTGTGAGACCAGTGTTGTTAGGAATGGGATGTAAAAAACGCAGGATCCAGAACCCCCTACTCTCAAGAGGCTTAGTGTGTGTGTGTTTGTGTGTGTTAAGGTGGTGTTTCTGGAGATGGGAGTATAACATAAGGCTGCACATAAAGGAGGGACAAAGAAAAGTACAGTTGAGCTGGCATCACAAGGGAAAGAGGAAAGGAAGAAACTGGGTTTGGAAGCTGATAATACTTATAAAAAATAAAAGAAGAGAAGAATGAAACAGAGTATGTATGCCCTCCCAGAGCGCTTCAGAATTAGTCTTGGGACCCAGTCCTGTGTTCTGGTCCCCGTTTCGAGCCTCTCCCATACAAAGTGTAGTGACACTGGGCTACCAGGAGGCCCAACTTTAAGGAGTACCATCCAAGGAGCTCTGGTAGCGTAGTGGTTACGAATCGGGCTGCGAACCATAAGGTCAGCAGTTCGAAACTACCAGCTGCTCCGCGGGAGAAAGATGAGGCTTTCTACTCCCGTAAGGATTTACACCCTCGGAAACCTTGTACAGGGTCGCTATGGGTCGGAACCGACTCGAAGGCACTTAACAACAACAACAACAATCCATGATGAGAAAGTCTGCTGTGAGACAGAATTTCAGGGCTGGTCCTCCTGTCCCTCTTGCATGGCCAGTCCTTGGTTGATTGTTCTGCAAGAGGAAATTACCAACAAAATCAAACTGACAAGTTTAGAAATGGCCAAGGATGGCTGTCAAACTCTCAGGAGACAGGCCTCTTGGCTACTTAGCTGAGGGGGGCGACTTTGGGTGGAAGAGGAGGAGAGTGAGGGATCAGGAAGGAGTAGGGGCATTTGATGACTCAAGCCAGTTAAAGAAGAACACAGAGATAAGCTGTCAGCTGCGCTTTCTGAGATGCTGGGAGACGGAGATGACTCTTTCTACACAAATGAAACACTTTCCCTTAATGTTGAAATGACTTATAGGGATCTGGGCCCCTAACCCTCTTTTCTAGCCAACTGCAGGCTGAGAGATGGCCCTAGAGCAGACAGAGGAGATGGGCGCTGGTGAGAATCCCCTGAGATGGCTAAGAGTATTATCAATGCAATCAGAAGAAGCACAGATTGAGTGCTCACTATTTCCAAACCTGGGAACTACAACAATCCTATAAAGTAGATGTGAGGAAACTAACTGTTGGGAGAGCTTTATGTCTCTACTTATAAAGAAATTCTTGCTTCCACCTGGTTGGACCATACCTGGAGAAATTGTAACTTCCTTGTCTCCTAATGGGCATAACAAATCAAGCCCAGGCAATAGGTCTTCTCCTCTTTTTTACTTGAAGATTCTTCTACTCAAAACAGCCTCATAGTTCTCTTAACTCATATCACTGCCCTGTGCTTAGAACCTGAGAGGAGATGACGGAAGTACAAAGAAGGGTCCTAAACACCAAGACAACCACAGTGTGGACAAGCACACATCTCCTCTAACCTCTAGATTAGGGTTTCTCAAACTCAGCACCATTGACATTTGGGCTGGGTAACTCTCTGTAGGGCTGTGTAGGCCTCCGTCTCTTACATAAGTCCCTTTACACATCCTGTGCATTGCAAGACCTTTGGTAGCATCTCTGGTTCTTACTGATTATCTACCAGTAACACCTCATATGCATTTGAGTTATGAGAATATTAAAAGTACCATGGACTGCCAAAAGAACAAAGCAACCTGTGTTGGAAGACGTACAGTCAGAGTGCTCCTTGGAAACCAGGATGGCCAGATTATGTCTTTCATACTTCAGACATACTATCAGAAAGGACCAGTCCCGGAGAAGGACACAATACTTGGTAAAGTGGAGGATCAGAAAAAAAGAGAAAGATTCCCTACAAGATGGATTGGCACAGTGGCAGAAGCAATGGGCTCAAGTGTAGCAATGATTGTGAGGTTGGGCAGTGTTTCATCCTGTTGTGTATAGGGTCACTGAGTTGGCACCAACTTGATGGCTCCTATCAACAACAACATCTCTCCAGTTATGACAACCACAATGCTAATTTGCCAAAATCCCTTGGACCCAAAAATCTTTCCTCTCCAATTCCTCCCACCTGGATAAGAACAATTGTCCTCAACAAATCCCACAAAGCATATAATGTGCCCCTCAGACTTGCTTGTTTTCATTCAGTAGTAAGTGTTGTGACAGGAATGATGACCTATAGGAGTTCCTGGTGCTCCCAGAGGACCCATAACCAATGCCTTCTTCTGAGATTGGAAACATTTGTAATCAATTCTAGCAGTTTCATTTTTCATTAACCTATTTCCCCTTCAACATCCTTCTTTTTCTCTCATTTACATGCAGGAAAAAGACTGCAAATTCAGGATATCCTAAAGGATGAAGAAACAATGAAGCTATTTCTCATAAAAATCATCGGCCTTTCTGATTCAGTTGTGGACCTTCTGATGATTCCCAAGTCCATCCAGAGCAGGTAGGTGGTTGTGAGAGATCAGTGGCCCCAGAGTGAAGGGCAAGAAAAGGCCGTTAGTGAGTACCAGTGCAGAAAGAAGAACTGGTGTTGGGCTGTAGGATCAGTACTGGACTGCTAAACACAAAGGTGGCAGTTCAAACCCACCATCTGCTCCTTGGAAACCCACTACTGGGTCGCTATGAGTCAGAACTGACTGTACAGCACTTAACCACAACAACAGCGCAGGAAGAGGCGAGGTAGCCTTAGCTTTCTTTTTTCTTGTTTTCACATTCAGAACCCATGATCCCTGCCACATACTCAGAAAAACACCTGGGAGTCACATGTGATGAGGAACATTCACATAAGAGTTGAAGCAGTACAAATCTTGGCAAAGTTCTAAAATCTGATTTTTATAATTGGAAGAAACATTAGAGACACCTTCTCTCTCTCTCTCTTTTAAACTGTTTTATTGTGAATTATGTGTTAGTTTACATGGGAGAACATTAGTTTTACATTCAGCCTATCATATATCATTCCATTGCCATGGTTACAATCCCCTCCATGTATCATCAACTAACCAAAGGGTATACACTACAAGCCTGCCCCCCAGTCGTCAGCACACAGCCCCTCTCCCTCTCTGGGTCTAAAGCCCCCAGCCATTCCATCTCTCCATGTCATTGTCTCTGCCTCCATCTCTGGCGTTACTGCTTCTCTGGATAGGGTCCCGCTCTCCGCTCTTCTCCCTTGATGGTCCCAGAGACCTACGCTCCTAGAATGCAAAGTTAATCACACCCCTTCTTGCTACAAAACATCTACCTTTACATTCACAACCCTCACAATCAGTCCTGATAACAATTATTAACTATTGTATCACAAGAGACCTATCCACATTTCCTTTCATCAGCCCCGCCTAGATAGATTGGATACTACTCAGTGGAGATTCTACCTTCCTCCATGCCTTCTGGATCTAGGTTCCCTCTTGAAAACTTGTAATCCAGTCACTTCTTGCCTTTGTAGCACCCCAATTTTGGGTAGCCAATGTCCAAGTTGCCCATCCCTGTCTACTCTGTATATGGACGGGGTGGAAATGATCCTTGCTGTAAAGACTTGTTCCCTTTTTTGAGCTACTGCACCCATAGGTGTAGGTCAAGTTCATCAAACTGTATCAGATTACTCTTTTTTTCCTCTTCTTTCTTTTTCTTGTTAAGCTCTGATCATCCAGTCATTGAAGCCAGGTCAAGTGTATTATCTGCAAGTGTAGGTGTTCTTAGGCATATTCCCTCTCTTCTTATCAGCTGGACGCTTCACTCTCCACTCTAGTCCTCTGTGGCTATGTCACACTCTGGGCCCAAGAACCCCCAGGTCTTGCCACACTGCTAGCCAACCAAGTCTCCACCCAGGTTCACAGGAGTCTATTGAAGGGCTTAGTTCAAAGCTTCTTTGCTGTTTTTCCCTCACTTCCCCTTATCAGTGATGAACGTGGTCACCAATCAGAGCGTGTATTCCCATTGAGTCTTAGTCTTGGAGGGGAGTTTGCTCTGAGGGGGCCCAACCATTTGCCTTGATGTCTCCTGGGCGAGCAACTTGCTTGTTCTTGTAGTAATCAGTCAGTTTGCTGTTATTGTTTTGTATTTTTCCTGTCGGTCTATCTTTCAAGAGGTATCTTCTGTTGTTCTAGCTGCTCCAGGCTGGTCTGCCCATCCTTTCAAGTGGAAATTTCCCACCTCTGAAGATTCTGGATGCTGTTCAGGATTCCACCTATAGTCTTGTGGAATGCAGAGGCGCCACAGGAAGCCTCCTTCGCTGGGCAAGCTTTAGCTCTATTTTAGGTATTCCAT